GCAGAGAGACAGGGGGATAGAGGATCCGAAGCAGGCTCTGCGCTGACAGCAGCAAGTCCGATGTGGGCCTCAAACTCATGGGAGATCATGACATGAGCCAGAGTCAGATGCTCAATCTACTGAGCCACCCAGGTGCACCCTTATTTCTGTATTTATTATTATCATTTACTTAATTAGACACTCAAGCACAAGAAAGCATAGAAAGAATAGTGACTTTGGAATAAGGCACAGATTTGAATCCTTGCTCTGCTACTTTTCAAATCAGCTATGTGGCATCTCTGACTTTTATTTCTTCATTTATAAATCATGTATAATAAGGAGGACAGTAATGGCAGTAACCTGGCAGTATGGGGAATAAACTTCATACTGTGATGCATAAAAGTATCATAAAAGTATATATGCCTATATATATATAGCTATCAATAGTTTAGTAATATCATTATTGGTCTACTATGGATGATTAAAAAATTCCCTATTGTTCTATATTTATTTCCCCAAATTTCCAACATAATCTTCAATGCAGCTTTCAGCTTAAAAAAAAATTATGTTTATGTAAATTTTTTCTATCAGCTGATTTACCAAGTCAAGCTAACATGAAAATTTTATTTTCCAAAAAGGGATATGACAATTTACATTACCATTAATGTTTGCCTGTGCCTAGTTTTATATCAATATAGAAAAAAGATGCATTAATGTTACTTAAAATTAAAAAAAATTTATTTAAAGCACAATCCTCTCTAAATCTAGAGGTATGTTTTTAATTTTTTTTTTTTTAAAGAGAGAGAGAGAGCATAAGGCAGGGGAGAGGAGCAAAGGGACAGAGAGAGAATCTTAAGGTGGTTCCACACTGAACATGGATGTGGGGCTCAATCCCATGACCCTAAGATTATGACCTGAGCCAAAATCAAGAGTTGGAGCTTTAACAGACTGAACCACCCAGGTGCCCCAATTTGCATCTTTTTTAATCTAATGAACTCATCCCTTTCTTATACATGCTCCAAAGAAACATTTCATAATTGCTGTGCTAGGAGATACTTTTACCAATGCAATGTAGCTATAATCTTATTGGTCATCTTGAAGTTATCAGTATACTAGAAAATGCTGAGAAACAGATTTTTAAAGTATTTAAGGCACTGATTCAATTGCATTCACATGAGATTTTGAGATCTATTGCCAAAGTTATGATGAGCTATATAGTTCTACATTTCACTATTTATTTATTTATTTATTTATTTATTCCATTTTACTATTTTAGAAAGCAAGATTTGGATACATACTTACCACATTAGGATTAAATGGTGGTGGAATCTTCTTTTGTACAAGATCAGTCCAGCTGAGTGATTCAAAAAAAGGATGATTCTGAATTTCAAGCTAGAATGTTAAAAAAAATACATATATTTTTTATAATGTTGAAAAATATAATTAAGTACTCACTGAAGAATTATATGAAGGCAAACCATTACCACTTTGTCCCTCACTAATTCTTTTTAGGTACATGTTTATGTTATTCATGTAGCAAAATGGCATAGGGGAGAGACTGCCAGAGCAAAACAGGAAAGACAGTTACTTGGAATGACCAACTTAAGTTATATCCTCTTCACAGTAATAATTTCTTCATAGGTAAAATAAAGATACCTCACAGGTTGCTTTAAGGACCAATGGAAAATATGGAAATAAAAGAGGTATGAAAAGAATAAGGTACTACATAGCTACAAAGAACTATAATTATTGTCTGATGGCAGAGGTAAAAAAGAAGTTAGGCAAAAAGTGTTTTACACAGTGGGGCAGAGGTAAAATCAAGGGGATGAGCTATTTTACCAAAAAAAAAAAAAATTCTATTCTGGGTTAGTATTATCAAAAGATGGCACAGTATTTATTCCAGTTATTTTCCCTGCAAGGTGACACAGAAGTGTATAAAGTAGGATCCAACCTAGTTTGGTGGGTTTAAAAAGACATCTTGGAGACTAAGTAATGTTTGACCAGAAGTCTGAAAGATGATAAAAATTAGGGGCGCCTGGGTGGCGCAGTTGGTTAAGCGTCCGACTTCAGCCAGGTCACGATCTCGTGGTCCGTGAGTTCGAGCCCCGCGTCAGGCCCTGGGCTGATGGCTCGGAGCCTGGAGCCTGTTTCCGATTCTGTGTCTCCCTCTCTCTCTGCCCCTCCCCCGTTCATGCTCTGTCTCTCTCTGTCCCAAAAATAAATAAACGTTGAAAAAAAAAAATTAAAAAAAAAAATTTAGATTAAAAAATGACGGGGAGAACATTCCAGGCAGAATATGAAGGCCCTCATGTGGCAAAGAGGTTAGTTTGATGAAGAAAACAAGCCAAGGGGCACCTGGGTGATTCAGTCGGCTAAGTGTCTGACTCCTGGTTTCAGCTCAGGACAAAATCTCATGATTCGTGAGTTTGAGCCCCACATCGGGCTCTAAACTGACAGCACAGAGCCTGCTTGGGATTCTCCCTCTTCCTCTCTCAGTCCCTCCCCTGCTTGTACGTGCATGCATGTGCGTGCTCTCTCTCAAAATAAATAAACAAACTTAAAATACAGGGAAGGATTGGGACTGTCACACAAGGTGAAGCCTAAGAGGTAAACTGACATATCATACTGGTTAAAGAATTACATTAAGAATTTTGAATTTTATCCTAGGATTATGAAAAGCCATCAGGGTATTTTAGATACGGGAATGTCACAAATATAAGGGATTTCCGGTTTGTTTTTTTTAAGACCTGAATGTAATAGGGAAATGGACTGGAAAGCCATGGCCAGATTAAGGAAACAGAGCTACTGTTGTGGCAAAAAAAAGTTGAAAATGGTAAGGGTACCTGGCTCAGTTGGTGGAGTGTGCAACTCTTGATCTCGGGGTTGTGGGTTTGGGGCTCAAGCTGGATGGAAAGATTACTTAAAAATAAAATTAAAAAAAAAAGTTGAAAAAGGTAGGAAAAGTGTAGTCACAGTCAAGTAGAAGAGTGTATAGCTATAGGAAAGATTTAGGAGGCAAATGCAACAGGATCTGGCTGTTGGTTGAATATGGAAGTAAGGAAGAGAGAGAAGTAGAGAATAACTCATATTTCTGACCTGGGGCACACAAAAGGAAGATGGCAGGAGTTCAGCAGTTTTGAATATGCTGTGTTTAAGGTACTAACCAGAAATCCAAAGACTGGTGCTGAACATGTAATTATTATGAGTCCAGAGTTAAGAAGAGAGGTCTGGACTGAAGTTATAAACGTGTGAGATGAAAACACAGAGATAATCAAAGCCACTGGGCCAACTGAGACTGTCCAGAAAGAGAACACAGAAGAAGAAAAGGGGGTTTAGGCCAACCACAAGGAACCACAACATTTAACCATCAGGTTGAAGAAAGTGGCTTACACAGGACATTACGGAGGAGGGCCTGGAAATACAGAATGAGATGACTGTGGGCTCTTGCAGAAGCCTATGGAACAAGAGTGTTGGAAGTTTAAATACTGCTGAGAAGGCAAGTTGAGGAACAGAGGGATTTAGCAATTCTAGTAGCTATTTTTGGTAAATTGAGAAATGAGAAGAGGCTGGGAAAGAAAAAAATCAACACAGAAACTTTTATGATGGGAAAAAGTTATTACCTGGCAGGCCAGCATGGTTGAGGGCTTTCCGTTTAAGAAGAGATTTGATAATGTCTCATTATTGCTTGGAATGCACTCTAACAAAAGGAAGCAGTTATCTGTGCAGAAAAATAGCATGCACAGGGTTCCCTGCAAGAAGTCAGGATCCAGTGCAGATGTACAAACTGGCCTTGTCCACTACATTAGGAAGAAGGAAATGACAGCAAGCAGGAGTGTGCAGGTCTTCAAATCTGACAGCGAGGCTGAGTTAGTTCCACTCTGCTGATTCTACTTTCCCTACAAAATAGAAGGCAAGATCATCTGCTAAAAGTGAAGAAAAGGAGTCTGGAAATTTGGAGAGAAGGTCTGAAATCATTAATACAGACAGTAGGAGAAGCAGCTAGAGAAACACAGGAACATTACCAAGCAGCGATGAAGCACAAAGGAGATTAATGACTAAACTTCATAGTGCTTCCAATATGCCCAGTGGGACAGCCTTCTTCAGCACTGTTTAGCAGCCCAGAAGATGACAAGTGGATTCATCCAGGGTTGTGATTTCTGTCAGCGAATTCCATAAAAGGCCCAAGGGGCAAGAAGATGTGAAGTATTAGAAAGACTGAATAAAACCAATGGACTATGGAATGAATCCAAGCTAGGCAGAAAACTGTTGACAGAGCTACGTACTGGGGAGTGTGGGAAAGGAAAAGCTCCAGCAGACAAGTTTGTTATTCACAGCTCAAGTTCACGACTGATAAAAGAATCCCCAAGAATTTGTGAGAAACTTGAGTTTAAAAGTCCATGTTGACACACCAACATAACACCAGTAGCTACATAAGCAATTTAATTTACACTAATTTTTTAAAAAGATTTTTTATTTTTAAGTAATCTCTACACCCAAGGTGGGGCTCACCCACAACCTCAAGATCAAGAGTCACATGCTACACCAACTGAGTCAGCCGGGTGCCCCTAATTGCCCTAATTTTAAAAAAACCAAAAAAGACCCACCAAACCTGTAGATTCTATAATTACCTCAGAGAGGTGTCACCAAATTCTCAGGAAAAAAAGTTATTTAATGTTAGTTCAAGGCAAAAGGCATTACCTCATGCAGACAGGAGCCACTTATAAATTGTTTCAATAAAATGATTTAAAAGTTTAGGTAATCACAAAATTCATGCCACACATTTTTTAAAAAGGGAGGGGAAATTCTTATAAATGAAAAAAAATATGTAATAGGGTATGAGGGGTGTCTGGGTGGCTGAGAGTCTGACTCCCAATTTCAGCTCAGGGTTCATGGGATTGAGCCCTACATTGGGCTCCATGCTGAGCGTGGAGCTGGCTTAAGATTCTTTCTCTCTCTCTCTCTCTCTCCACCACTCTCCCCACGTGTGCTCTCAAAATTAAAAAAAAATTTTATATAGGGTATGAAAGCAGGATGTGAGGGGTGAAATGGAGAGGCTCAAATGGTCATAAATATCAAACAAAAAAACATACATGCAAGTGCTTCACGCCATATAAACATGGTAAAAACTGCTGGGACACATGTGCTTTTTTTTCATGGTGTTATTTAAGAGTTACATTCATCCCATTAAATGCCACATAAAATAAGAATTTTTCTTCAAGTCTCAAATAAGCTTAAATAAAGTGGTACTGGGAAGGATGTACATACAAAGTCTTCTTTGGCACCGAGTCGATTTTGCCTGTCTTTCTCTAGGAGTTCTTCCAGAATGGACCAGGCTGTGAGGCTCACTCCTGGCCTCAAACTTAGGGGCTTGTGAAGAATATTGTCATACATTTCAGCTACATCTCGGCAATAAAAAGGAGGCTGGGAAAAAAAGGAAAAAAAAATTAGTGTTTTTTTTAATTATTATTTTATTTTTAAAGTTTATTTTTAAAGTTTATTTTATTTTTAAAGTTTATTCATTTTGAGAGAGAGAGAGAGAGAGAGAGAGTGTATGTTTGTGTGCACGTGCGTGTGTGTGCAGGGGAGGGGCAGAGAGAGGAGAGAGAGAGAATCCCAAGCAGGCTCCACACTGTCAGCACAGAGATCCATGCGGGGCTTGAACCCACAATGAGATCATGACCTGAGCATAAGTCAGACACTTAAACGACTGAGCCACTCAAGCACCCAGTGTTTTTTTTTTTATGTTTATTTTTTAGAGAGAGAGTGTGAGCCAGGCGGGGCAGAGAGAGAATCTGAAGCAGGCTCTGCAATGCCAGTGCAGAGCCTGACACAGGGCTCTAAGCAGGGCTCAAACTCACAAATCATGAGATCGTGATCTGAGCCGAAGTTGGACACTTAACCAACTAAGCCACCCAGGTGCCCCAGAAGTTAGTGTTAATTGAACTATACCAAAATGAGGTTCAAAGAATTGGATTCAGCCTTGATCTACAGGAATCAGCCTGGGTCTGGACAGCTGCAGAAATGCAAAGGTTTCTGTGGGCACGTGTACATCTGCAGCATAGTCTCCAATGCAAAGAGGTTGGTTTTTATTTTTTTAAGTTTATTTTGAGAGAGAGAGAGAGAGAAGCGGCTTGAGAACAGGGGAGGGCAGAGAAAGGAGGGAGGGGAGGGGAGGGGAAGGGAGGGGAGGGGGGAGAGAGAGAGAGAGACAGAGAGGGAGAGAGAGAGAGAGAGAGAAACCCAAGCAGGCTCCGCACTGTCAGCAGGGAACCAGATGTGGGGCTCGTTCTCATGAACCGTGAGACCATGACCTGAACCAAAATCAAGAGTTGGGTGGGCGTCTGATTTCGGCTCAGGTCCGCGATCTCTATGTTCATGAGTTTCAAACCGCCGGGCCTCTGTGCCCCAGCTCGAGAACTGGATGAACCTGCCGCCTTCTGTGTCTCCCTCTCTCTCTGCCCCTCCCCCGCTCACACTCTGTCTCTCAAAAATAAATAAATGTTAAAAAAAATTTTAAAGCCAGCATCATGTAGAGCCCACTATGTGGTCACTGAAATGTTTAGGAACACCCTGCAGACAGGTGTAAACTGCATAATAGTATCTGACAGAAAACCACCAACCTCATCAGAAGCATAATGGAAGAATTATTGCGGAGATTCCACACAGATCAAACATTAAATAATTTCTTGAGACTTCAGAATAAACTAATTAAAACAGAGATTGCTAGGAGAGAAGACCTGAAGATAGTGCTCCTTCCTAAGTACTTGCGGTAATGGCAGTATTATGGGTGTACTGTGCAGAATTACAATTCTATTGCTACAGCTTAAAGACCTGTAGAGCTTCCACATGAGGATTAACTAATCATGCAGTTAAGTTTTAAACTAAAAATAATTTTTAAAGTTAAGGGAGTTATAGGCTTGTCACTTTTATTTATTTTTGAGAGAGAGACAGAGCACCAGTGGGGAGAGGGGCAGAGAGAGAGGGAGACACAGAGTCCAAAGCAGCTCCAGGGCTCTGAGCTGACAGCACAGAGCCCGACATGGGGCTCGAACCCATAAGCTGTAAGATCATGACCCGAGCTGAAGTCGGACACTTAACCGATTAAGCCACTCAGGCACCCTGTAACATTTTTACTTTAAAAAAAAATTTTTTTTTAACGTTTATTTTTGAGACAGAGAGAGACAGAGCATGAAGGGGGGAGGGGCAGAGAGAGAAGGAGACACAGAATCGGAAGCAGGCTCCAGGCTCCGAGCCATCAGCCCAGAGCCTGACGCGGGGCTCGAACCCATGGACCGCAAGATCGCGACCTGAGCTGAGGTCGGACGCTCAACCGACTGCGCCACCCAGGCGCCCCACATTTTTACTTTTTAAAACTGAAATTCATTTTTTCATTTTTCTATTTAAAAAAAAATCTTTTAAAGGTTTGAGAGAAAGAGAGAGTGAGAGCATGCAAGTGAGCTGGGGAGGAGCAGAGAGAGAGAATCCCAAGCAGGCTCCACATTCAGTATGGAGCGCCACATAAGGCCTCAATCTCACCACTATGAGATCGTGACCTGACCTGAAATCAAGAGTCAGATGCTTAACTGGGTCACCCTTGAACTTCATTTTTAAATAAAGTCTCATTTATGAAATATATGTTTCAAATGTTCCCTTTTGAGGCAACAGCATTTTACATACAAGGATAATATTTTACATTTTCATGGTCCTCTAAAGAAATTTGAAAGATTCAGAGATAACAGGATGGCAAATATCCAGCAGTTAAAGAAAGTAAGGTGTATCAGGTATTCCAAGTCACTAGCATAACCAGGAAATCGACTCTTTTAATAAGCAAGGGCAAAGAAGAGACAGTGTTGGTTGTCATAGGAATCTATCATTCAAAGTTTGCAACATAAGACAAATGTTCTAACGTGTGCCTTATGTGTTAAGATTACACTAAGAGCTCCCCAGTTTTCAGTGGGGGGGAAAAGCCCACACAAAACAAGTGAAACAAACAAAAAAACCAAGCCCCAGCTCAGGTCTCAGCTGATGGTATTATTTAGCTTTGTGTGGGCAGCAGCATAGGAGATGAGTGCACAGTTCCCAGCATGAGGTTGCTGGACACTCAGGGGACCACAAAAGGACTCTAGAAACTATTCTAAAAATCTCAAAAAGCCTAAAGAAAAACATGTGTTGTTCCTGTAAGAATATGTAAACTGACTGCCTAAATTGTTTGCTTTGGTTGGAATGATATTAATCAATACAGTAGAACAACTTTACACATGTTAATCAGAAGCTCTGGTTGGTCTTATGTGTCTTTAATTAATAAAAACCAGGGCAATTGATTTCATAGTGAACATCCCTTTTTTTTTCAATAAAATCTTCCAGACATGGTGTTTATGGTAAACGCAAGAGGAAGTTCCCAATGGTGGAAAAAGTGGAGCACCAGTGTATTATATCCTATAAAAATAAAACACAAGGCAAAACCCAAAAGATATTATCTTCTGATAAATACAAAAATATTTTTCTTCCCATCTTTTTGAAATTGGGCAGAATGATGACTGGGGTAAATTGAATGAAAGTGAATAATATTAAAAAAAAATAAAGTGGATAATATTAATGTTGTAACTAGTATCTACTTCTAAAAAATCCAAGTGGGATGAGAACACCTGATTAGTACAACAGAAAAAATGACATTAAAAGACCAGTAACAAAGCAAAAGTTTTTTGGTGTGTGTGTGCATATCCCTAATGTGATTTTGGATTTGTTTAACCAGGTTACTATTGCTCTATTAGTGTTAACTAAGAGTCCTCCAGATTACTAAAATGAGAGCGAAAACTCAAAGAATTAAAATATACTGGAATAATAATGAAAGAGTAGAAATACATACCAATCCATACAGCATTTCATAGAGAACAGCACCAAGGCACCACCAATCTACAGTGTTGTCATAGGGCTGTTTTCTGATTACTTCAGGAGCAAGGTACTATGGAAAACATTAAATATTAGAGCAACTTGATACACAACTCATGGTAAAATTTAGGAATAATTAAGAAATTTAACAAATTTAAGATGTTACTATGACACTAAAAACCTATCATCTAGATTTTTAATTGGCTAGGTATTCTCATCCCGTATCAGTGGTTCCAAGGTGATAATACTCTTCAGAATCATCTGGGACATTTTTCAAAATACACATATTCAAGTACTTTCCTCCATAAACTGTGATGCAACTAAGGCAAACAGAAGATGAGAACCAATGTAGAAATCTGTAACACTATGTAAACTAGATACTGGGCTGGAGGGGCAGGGAGTCTTTCACAAGAAATTTATTTTAGAAATTCCTCTAGTCATTACTTGTAATTGTTTCTCTTTAAACAAGAATTTTTAATGTAGCAAATATAATGTTTTTTCCCTTTAAAGAAAAAAGAATTCTATAATTTTTACTAGAGAATTACAAATAGCAATTCTAATATAATTATTTATAAAAGTTGTGATTAGATGGTTATGCACATTTTAATTTGTGAAACATTTAAACTCATCACAATTTCACACATATAAAATGGTGAATTTGAATTCTAGATTCCAAGACATATATTTTCTGTTCCCATATGAAATAAGGAAATAATTTCTTAAGCCTTCTTTCTAATGTGATCCAAAGATATGGCAAAATATATAAAAAGGGTTTAATAATTTCTGATTACATTTAGATTTAGATGACCAAAAAAACTTGTGTTTCCTTTCTAAAAATTATAGGACTTAAAGATTTTGTTACCTATGAAATCAACACACATTCACAAAAAAAAGGTTTTTTCATACACAAACTGAAACAGAATGATTACAAATATACACAAGAGCTAGGGTGACAGAGAAAGGAAGAAAAGGAAGGAAGGAAGGAAGGAAGGAAGGAAGGAAGGAAGGAAGGAAGGAAGGAAGGAAGGAAAGAAAAAGACATTTCAAAGTACTCTCACTTTTAAGTTAAAAAATTTTTTCTGATCTTGATTAAAAGACTCATGAGCCATTTTATCACACATTGCAACACAATATTCACAACTACTCTATGATAAAGATGAAATACTACTGGCATCTAAGATAACTATAAATACATTAAAATTAGGACAGTTATAAACTAAACATACGTGTGTGTGTGTGTGTGTGTGTGTGTGTGTGTGTGTAGTGAGAATAACAAGGCTTTAACATAGCTTGTAAGGATTATTATTATTGTCTCAAATAGAAGGATACATTTTCTGCTAGCTAACATGATTAGAGAGTGAGATGTTCTGATTAATTCTGACTTGCAATTTTTTCCTTCCATATCCACTACTTTACTCTCTTCTGTTAAATGAACACTTAGTATAATTCAATGGCTGTTAGTACATTTAGAATGGTGTAAACATTACCACAACTTTAGGACTTTTTCATTACTGATTTGTGATTTTTTTAAAATAAAGGATATGGTAAACTTTTAACCTTATAAGCATAATTTATATCTTTGTTGGGTTATCTGTGGTAGCTCACAATCATAATTAAAAATACTAACTATCAGTAAACTTTAAATGTTCTGAAGGGATGATTATCATATATTTCCAAGTGGCTGGAAGCTGAAATTCTACTTCAGTAGAAAGCAGAAAATATTCTACTTTTCTGATTTCAAATATTATATATGCAATTTGTGATTCATTTTTGCATTTTAAACATGATTATATAAATGACAAATGAGACATATTTCTTACCTCTGGTGTCCCACAAAATGTTGTTGTCGTGTCAGAAATAGCAATTCCTTCTTTACAAAGCCCAAAATCTGTTAAGACAACATGTCCCTGACAAATACAGGGGCAGTAAGATAAAACAGTGCATGGGCATAAACTCACAATTTTAAAAACCATTTCACTTTAAAATAATTGTAGACACACAGGAAATTGCAAAAATATTACAAAGAGTTTTGTATACTCTTCACCAATGCTGATATCTTATATAACTGCAGTAAAATATCAAAATCAGGAAACTGACATTGGTAGAATACTGTTAACCAGATTGCCAATTTTACCCAGTTTTGGGTTTTTTTACATGCATTTGGGTATGTGTGGTTCTATGCAATAGAGGTGTGCAGATTTGTGTAACTATCACCACAATCAAGACAAAGAACACCTCAAAGGATCAAAAGAACTCACTCATGCTACCCCTTTATCTTTTCACTCTGCTTTTCCCACTGTCCCTGTCACTTTACAACCATTAATCTGCTTTCCATGTCTACAGTTTTGTCATTTTGAGAATGTTACATAAATGGAATCATGCAGTGTAGAGCTTTTGAGATAGATTTTTTTCCACTAAGCATAAATGAGAATAAAATTGAGAGTCAGTAGATTTTTAAAATACTTACTACTGAATCCAGAAGAATATTTTCTGGTTTCAAGTCCCTATTAAATTGAAAGGAAAGCAAAACTGAATATTAACTGAAATAAAGTAATAAAATGACATTTTTACAAGAAATACATTAAAATTTACCTGTACACTATTTTGATGGAGTGCAAGTAACCCAATGCACTGGCAATTTCAGCAGCATAAAACCTAGCTCTGTGTTCGGGAAAGGACCGTTCTCTCTGTAAGTGGAAAAATAGCTGTAAAATGGGGGAAAAAGAAAGATATTAAGATAATTCACACATAAGGTGAAACAAACATATCCTATAAATACAAAAATAGGATTTTGGTTATTCCGAACATGAGATAAAAATGCCCCAAAGCCCAGAACTGTGACTCTCCCTTGTGTGTCCCCCACCTAGCAATTATTCTCTCTTGAACCATGCATCTTTCTTTACCCTTGCTAACTTGCTCATCTCTCATTTACTCCTCAATCCTCAATGCATCAGTGTCCTTATCACTCTGGAAAAGATTATCAACAAAGACCATAGCCATGTGGTTATCTCATTAGACCTTTCTTAACTGTGCTTTCATTTGGGAAAAAAAAAAAAATCAAACCCTATTCAGAGATTGAAAACAAGCGGCAGGCAGACCAAATATAACCCACAGATCTCATTTGTTTGAGCCAAATACTGTTTTTAGAAAAATCTCAATTAACTGGTAACATTTAAAAACGGGAGAAATTTTTGGGGGATAAAAACTCATAGTTCTGGTTTCCTCTGGGGGGTGGGGGAGAGAAGGAAACTCTACAACATTAAGCCTAAATTCCAATGTGGTAGCAAATGGTGGGAACTGAGCAGCAGCTGGACTCTCCAGTTCACTTCTTACACTTCTGAATCCTTAACTTATGTCTTACTTACAATCTCCCTTTACTCCTTAGGTTACCTGCCTGGGTGAAGTTTGTCCTAGGTCCTTCCTCTAAGTTCCCTGGCTTTTAAAACAATGATCTCACCTTAGGTCTCCTTCCTTGGAGAGTTCCATCTCTGCTCCTTTCTGCCCCTTTACTCTGCAGGGATAACAAGGTTTTTGTCCTCGGTCTCTTCACAGTCATCCTTCCTCTGGATACCCACCCTGCCGGGTGACCTAGTCCATTCCAGTGATTTTAACTAACCCCTCAACACTGAGGTCTTTCATATGGCCATACCCCACCTAGACCTCTGCTTAGGGCTTCTTCTACAAAGACCTGCTGCCTGCTTTCTTTCTTGACTATTTCACAAGCCAACAAACTCAACTTGTCTAGAACAGAGCCCCTTGTCTTCTTTTACAAACTTAACTGCCACTGTGGTATTCTACTCCTTTAATGACATCACTTTCTATCCAGCTCTCTAAGCCATGGAAGGCAACAAGGTACAGGTTTTATAGCTGATCAGACCTGGATTCAATTTTTCTCCTTTTGTGTGCAATTCGTTCCACTTCTCTGACTTAACAAAAATTGTCCCCAAATTTTTCTTAACCTCTTCTGAAAGGTTATGGTGAAGATCAGTTATACCAGATCCTGACACAGTAGGTAAGTGGATGCTGGCCTGGGATTTACCTAGACTGCTCCTTTACCCTTAGCCTCTGTCTCTAACTAATGAATAAATTCTTCTGCTGTTATCCTTTAATTATTTCTGGAATACTCCCTCCTATTTAGCCCTATTACTGCCTTTGTTAGCTGTGGCTTATACTATTATAATATGCTATATTGGTCTGATCACATCTGTCTAATATAATAGTAATGAAAATTACCCAAAATGAAAAACTGACCATTCACTAATGATAGCTAACACTATTTACTAAATCAAAGGCAGCATGCTAAGCACTTTATATGCTTGTATTATTTAAATCCACCCAACTATTTTGAGGTAGAAAATTAATGAGGAAGCTGAGGCTCAGGAAGGCTTGTTTATATGCCTCGTATCATAAAACTTACTTCTTTATACTCTACCTGGCTCCAAAACAGATGTGAAGTAGCATGCAAAAGTAAGTATCACACATCAAGGTTAAAATGTTAAGTATGAGAATCAGGGGACAACACTAGTAATAACAACAGGAAACCCATAATGAAATTATACTCTTCATACCTCTATCTGTTCTCCTTGTCTTTACTGCTATTCTACCTACTACTGCCCTTTCAACACCTCCTCCACCAACCCCAATATTCTATTTCATTCTTTTCATTCCTCATTATCCTAGCCAAGTCTATTTTTTAGAACACAATCCTACCTCTTTCCACCTTTGCCACTCAGTTTATGAGTGATGACTGGGTAAAAAGAGCTCAGAAGCAAGGTCCTAAAACAGCATAAAGAAGCCACGGACAAAACAGGAAGCTTGCAAGAGGATCTGCATTTAACGCCTTGCATGACATTTCAAATACACAGAGTGGTACTGAGGTCTAGGTTAATTAAATCCAGGACCTGACACTTACACATGATGACACTGAAAAAGTTACTTAACTTCTCTGAGCCTTAGTTTCCTTATATATAAAATGGGTAGAAGAGTGTATATCTAAAACAATTATATTGACTAATTCAAGTAATGCAGGTAAAATAATTACAAAGTGCCAGGCCCTCAATAAATTCTCAATATATGCTAGCACTCATGTACACACAAAATAAAATGACAACCTTAAAATCTTCAACCTTCATAGTCTTGCTTCTACACTGAGGAGGCATTTAGCACTTCTGTCATAGATGTAGGTGGTTGAATAATGATTCTTTTATGATCTTCCCCCAAAATGATCTAGGGGTAGGGCACCTGGCTGACTCAATCAGTAGAGTGCGTGATGCTTGATCTTGGGGTTGTGAGTTCGAGCCCCACGTTGGGTGCAGAGATTACTTAAAAAATACAATCTTTAAACACACACACACACACACCAAAAACAAAACCCAAAATGATCTAGGTGTGTCTGACCATCTTTCAGGTTTGCAGAATAGACATTAGTCTTTCTTCTAATTCCTTTATTCTACAGCTAAGTGTACTACAGCAAGGCTGAAATAATTATTTTCCTCTCTTTCTGTTCTGGGACTAGGGGATCAAAGACGCTTTGATAAAAATATGACACTACCTACCGGAATAATTTTTAGAGACATTCATAAGTCAGAGAGCAAACTAATTACAAAGGCATGGGGGCTGAGCAACAGAGGAACGGGACTGTCAGCTGCCTAAATCCTGGAATCACACTGCCTGAGTTTAATTCCTGGCTCTAATACTTACTGAACACATGACCTGAGCAAGTTACTAGCTTCTCTGTGCCTCAGTTTCTTTATCTTATATAACAATTGTTGTGAAAATAATACATACAAAGAGCCAGAGTGCTGGGCACATCAAGTACACTTGATGCATGTTAGCTATTACTGTAATTATTATGATGATAGTAGCATTTCCCAAAATATATTTCAATATCCCTCTGATTCAGAGTTTTGGGGAATATAATTAATAGATTTGGTTCAAACAAAAAGGAACTACATGGTAAGAAAATATTTTCAAAGAAATCTTTGCTTTGTTTAAGGCAGAACTCAAAGTCTTTAACATGCTGAAACATACTGTGAGTCACCAAGAAACATATTGGTAATTGCCAATGGGATAGAACGTGAAATATTTTCCACTGACTTCACCACAGAACTCTTTATTAGAGGATCATCTCATCTGATTATAGTTTGCACATTTTAGAAAATGACAGGCTAGAGTAATCTTTAAACGCAACTGTGGAGACAATAATTATCTAAATACAAATCATGTTTTATTGTTAACATTTCAGTATATTATTCTTGCTATAGTATCTGTGAAGTCTGCAGATTCAAACCAAGGCTCTTTTATGAATCTTCCACCTACACCATAAACTGCTTAAGAAAAGAGCTTTGTTTACAATTCTTCATTAGCTTGCTTTGTGCCTATTAGCCAGAATCTTGAACATAATAGTGTTAATGCTGGCCTATCCTTCCAAAAACTGATAAGTGAATAAAAACTGTGACTTCCTTCTACTTTTTCTAAACATTATCAACATAAGAATACTAATCATAAGGGCACCTGGCTGGCTGGGTCAGTAGAGCATTAGACTCTTGATCTCAGGGTCATGAGTTCGAGGACCACGTTGGGTGTAGAGATTGCTTAAATAAATAAAAATATACAAAAAAAAAAAAAAAAGAAAGAAAACTAATTATAAAACTCACCTCCCCTCCATTAACAAAATCCAGAACAAAATAAAGCTTTTCAGTTGTTTGGAAAGAATAATGTAATCCAACCAAAAATGGATGTTTCACATTTTTCAAAAGCACATTACGTTCAGCCATGATATGTTTTTGCTGTTAAAAAAAAAAAAAGTAAAGGATCCACTTGTATTATATGCCAGAAAACATTTGTTATTTGAGAAAATGGATTTAGGAGAAAAAAATGCTATTTTACTTTACCTCTTTTCTGTTGAGAACTATTTTTTTCTGTAACACTTTGACAGCATAAAATTTTCCATCCAGTTTCCGTTTTGCAAGAAGAACCTGTTGTAAAGATTGTGCATACTATTAGAAATTTCAGTATTTTGATAGAAATAATTCATTTGTCAATAAATTCGTACTTAAATTATGTACAAAAAAAGTCTACAAGGGACCTAGATTGTATGTTTTAGTTTCGAAAACTGAAAAGTACTGAATTTATTTCTATTTCACTTCTCTTTAGATATTTTACAAAAAAAATATTTATCACTTGAATAGCCAGATACCATTTCTTTGTCACTTAATGTGCCAAAGTTTGAGATTTTTACTCAATTTAAGTCCCCAAATCTAAACTGCTTGAGATCCCCGTGTGTGTGTGTGTGTGTGTGTGTGTGTGTGTGCGCCCACGCGTGCAAGCACCAGCCCTGAGTCCTAAAGAGTGAAAATACTAAGGCTATAAACTTCATGAATATATTTTTTAAAAAAAGGAGAAGGAAATGGTTTCTATATGATCAAAGTGCATTTCTGTTTGAGCATTTAGCTTTTAATACAAGTCTCAAATTCAGGAACATTCAGAAGAAGAAGCACCCTGTATAGCCGAGTTTTTATAATGGGCAGGTTGCATGCACTTTCAAAGATGTGAAGCAACTTAGAGGCTTTTGCTCCAGAAAAAAAAGTAACAGACTTAGGATTTTACAAATAATTTTAAGGGATTCAAGATGCCCAGCAAGCTGTGTAACTATTAAACGGGGTACGTTCCAAAGCGTTTTGAGATTATCTGACACAGCAAGTAGGGACACTGCTGGGCCTCATATTCTAGTCCCGGTGTTGTTAACCTTGCTAAAACTTATAACCCCAGACTAATCATGAGTAAAGTACCAGACAAATTCCAATCTTACAATATACCTAACTAGTACTTCTCAAAACCATCAAGGTCCTCAAAAACAAGGAAAGTCTAAGAAACAGTCACAGCTAAAAGAAGCTTAAGGAGACATGACAACTTAATGTAATGTGGTATTGTGGGTGAGATCCTGGAACAAAAACAGGCCATTAGGTAAAAAGTAAGGAAATCTAAATGAACAGTGGACATTAGTTAATAATATGCATCCATACTGGCTGAATATTTGGAACAAATATACCATGTTAACGTAAGATATTCACAATAGGGAAATTGTGTGGAATGGAGGATGGTTTGGGAATTCTCTGAATTTCCTGTATTTTCTCTATATTCATCTTTTCTGTAAATCTGAACTGTTCTAAAAATAAAGCCTATTAATTTAAAAAAATGTTTTTAATCGAAGTAGACTCAAAACACCTTCAAGGTAAAAATGTCTTGTGCTCAACTGTTGGCCATTTCTCCCATTTTCCATTCTTTTGTTTGCTACAATATTTGACTCTACTGAACATCTTTCCTTTCTTAAATTTTTCCTTTTCTCAACACCTCCCACCTCCCAGCCTGACCTTTCCTTCTCTATTTTGATTGGTTCATCTTCAAGTATATTAAGAGAAAATAATTCAAATGTGGCAATCAAGGGATACTGATTCCCTTAAAAGAGCTAAGTATTTTTTCAATAGACTGGTAGATTGGAGAAGTGTTAAGAAACAAACTGGGAAAATGAAAATGGAACCAAGACCACTCAGTGGAGAAGAGTTTGTAATAAATTTTAGGTTGCCATTATTTATTTTAGTCTATCATATATTTTTTATACTTTTCAGACACACTGTGTTTTTGTATTTACTTTTCCTTTTTATGTATTCTTTAATTTGTTTTATTGTATTTTATTGGCTTCTAACCATTTTATAAGACTTTTAATTTTTGTTAAACATAACATATATATAAAAAAAAACTCACAAATCATTATAGCTCAGTAAATTACTACAAAATGAAGTCACACTGTGTAACCACTATCCAGGTCAAAAAATAAAACATTATCATACAGTTGTGGGTTCATTTCTGGGTTTTCTATTCCATTGATCTATGTGTCTATTTTTGTATTTACCCAAAAAATACAAAAATACTAATTCGAAGGCAAACCTGCACCCTTACATAAGATGTTTACAGCAGCATTATGTAATATATCCAAATCATAGAAAAAGCCTAAATGTCCACTGACTGATGAATGGATAAAGAAGACGTGGTATATATACACAATGGAATATTATTCAGCCATAAAATGAATGAAATCTTGCCATTTGCAATGACATGAATGGAGCTAGAGCACATTATGCTGAGCGAAGTAAGTCAGAGAAAGACAAAGTCTGTATTTCATTCATTCATATGTGGAATTTAAGAAACAAAATAAACAATCATAGGGATTGGCAAGCCAAGAAACAGATTTTTAACTATAGAGAAGAAACTGATGGTTATCAGAGGGGAGGTGGATGGGGGGATGGGTTAAATGGGTGATGGGGATTAAAGAGTGCACTTGTGATGAGCACCAGGAATTGTATATAAATACTGAATCACCAAGTTGCATACCTGAAGCTGATATATTACACTGAATATTAACTAACTGAAATTTAAATAAAACTTTTAAAAAGAAATAAAAAAATAAAAATAAAAATAAAACATTATCAGTAGCTTGAAGCCTCACCTTTCCCCTGATTTCAGAAACTACTTATCCCTGTCTTCCTCAACTATCGCAATTTGTGATAACACATATTAAGTTTTGTCTTTTTTTGGGTTTTATGTAATGAGAATCATATAAAGTTGTCTGTGACTTCTTTCATTCTAAATAATGTAATATGCATTCATGTTGTGTCACGTAGCATAATTTTTGTTTTTTTACTGTGCAGAATAATGCATTATACAATTTTAAAAAATTTAATTCTAATATAGTTAACATACAGTGTTATATTAGTTTTAGGTGTATAATACAGTTATTCAACAACTCTATATATTACTCACTGCTCATTATGATAAATGTAATTTTTTTTTTTTTTAACAGTAAGTATATTCTTAATCCCTTTCACCTACTTCACACATCCCCCCCCCCAAGTCACCGTAACTATCACTTTGTTCTCTATAGTTAAGAGTCTATTTCTTGGTTTGTCTCTTTTATTTTTATTTCTTAAATTCCATATATGAATGAAATCATATGGTATTTGTCTTTCTCTGACTGACCTATTTCACTTAGCATTATACTCTCTAGATGTTCCCATGTTGTTGTAAATGGCAAGATTTCATTTTTTTTCATAGCTCGGTAATATCCCATTGTATATATAATACAAACCACATCTTCTTTATCCATTCATCTATTAATGGACACTTGGGCTGTTTCCATAATTTGGCTATTGAAAGCAATGCTGCTTGAAACATAAGGGTGAATATATATTTTCAAATTAGTGTATTTTAATACTTTGTGTACATACCCAGTGGTAGAATTACTGGATCACACAGTTCTATTTTTAATTTTTTGAGGAACCTCCATACTGTTTTCCAGTGGCCGCACCAGTTTGCACTCCTACCAACAGTGCACCAGCCCTCCTTTTTCTCCACATCCTTCCCAACACTTGTTTCTTGTGTTTTTGATTTTAGCCATTCTGACAGTTGTAAGGTGATATCTCATTGTACTTTTGATTTGCATTTCCCTGATGATGAATGATGTTGAGCATCTTTTTGTGTCTGTTGGCCATCTGTGTGTCCTCTTTGGAGAAACGTCTGGTCATGTCTTCTGCTGATTTTTAATTGGGCTATTTGTTTTTTTTGGTGTTGAGTTGCAGAAGTTCTTTATCTAGGTTGGATATTAACCCTGTATCAAATATGTCATTTGCAAATATCTTTTCTCATTCAGTAGGCTGTCTTTTTGTTTTACTGATTATCTCCTTGGCTGTGAAGAAACTTTTTATTTTGATGTGGTCTCAATAGCTTATTTTTACTTTTGTTTTCCTTGCTTCAGGAGACATATCTAGAAAAATGTTTTTCTGGCCGATGTCAGAGAAATTGCTGCCTGTGCGCTCTTCTAGAATTTTTTTTTTTTTCAACGTTTTTTATTTATTTTTTTTGGGACAGAGAGAGACAGAGCATGAATGGGGGAGGGGCAGAGAGACAGGGAGACACAGAATCGGAAACAGGCTCCAGGCTCTGGTCAGCCCAGAGTCCGACGCGGGACTCGAACTCACGGACCGCGAGATCATGACCTGGCTGAAGTCGGACGCTCAACCGACTGTGCCACCCAGGCGCCCCGGGAATTTTTATGGTTTCAGGTCTCACAGTTAGGTCCTTAATCCATTTTGAGTTTATTTTTGTGTGTGTTGTAAGAACTGTGGTCCAGTTTCATCTTTTTGCATGTAGTTTTCCAAGCATCATTTGTTGAAGAGACTTTCTCCCAGTGCATATTCTTGCCTCCTTTGTTGAACGTTAATTGACTATATAATTGTGGGTTTATTTCTGGGTTCCCTGTTCTGTTCCAATGATCTATGTGTTTATTTTTGTACCACTACCATACTGTCTTGATGACTACAGGTTTGTAGAATATCTTGAAATCTGGGATTGTGATACCTCTGGTTTTGTTTTTTCTTTTTCAAAATTACGTTGGCTATTCGGGGTCTTTTGTGGCTCCTTACAAATTGTATGATTATTTGTTCTGTGAAAAACTGCATTACACAATTTAATCCACTCTAATTGACCGACATTTAGATTGTTTATGAATAACAATGCCATGAATATCATGACATATTCCTTTCCATATTAGTGTGTATGTGCATGCATATCTGTTGGATATATAGCTAGAAAGATAAATAGCTAGAAGGATATATAGCTAGAAGTAAAACCAATGTGTCACACAGGTAATGCATATATTCAGCTTCAATAATTAACACCAGTTTTCAACAGCATTTAGAAATGAAACACATAGGAATAAATCCAATTAAAGATATATAAAAACTCCATAGGACATTATAAAACATTATTGAAAAAAATTAAAGAAGAACTAAAAATTAAGAAAGGGATATACCACGGTTAATGGATTGGAAGACTAAATAATGTAAAAATGACAATTCTTCCCAAATTGTTCTAGATTCAATGCAATCCCAATCAAAATCCAGAATTTGTGGAAATTGGCATGCAAATTTTGTGGAAATTGGTATGCTAATTAAAAATACATGCAAAGGGCTAAGACTCTTGAAGAAAAACAAGGGAGGCCTTGTTTTGTTGGATATCAAATGACATAGACTAACAGAACAAAACAGAAAAACTCAAAACAGAAATATAAAACATAAAGTCTAGAAGCAGATGCATGCATATATGGACACCATATAAATGATGAAGGTTACCCTGTAGATCAGTGGGGAAAGAACAGTCTTTTCAATAAATTGTGTGGGACCAGATGGATATCAATAGGATAAAAAATGAACTCTGACCCTACAACTTCATAATATATGTGAGAACCAATTCCTGGTAGACTCTAGATCTAAACATCATTATCTAGATCTAAAAAAGAATGCTTTTTGTTTTTAATGACAGATTATCTCAAACATCCCAACAGACTGTGAGGGAGCACTTTGTGTGCACTATCCCTTTCTAACTTTCTGTTGCTATACTAGCACAATGTCCAGCACATAGTGGGTGGTCAATATATGTGCTGAACTAATAAACACACATGGATTTAATTGTATGGTCACAGTTTCTGGTATCTAGGGATCTCAGAAAACAAACTAGAGATACTGAAAGCTAGGAATGTAGCAACCTATAATTAAACACATGCATATTTATTTTCATTGCAGATTGAAGTATAATGCAAAAAAGCAATTAAATATATCTTATGATTCTGGTAACTCCATCTATGATGCTTCTGGCCTTAAAGTAGATTCTCCTTCCTTGGTTTGGCTACACGGTCAAGTTATAGGATTCATCTGACACTGTGTGAGGAGCAGCAGGGTTTTCACACATCCCTTTCCTTCCTCAATTGTTATTTTCATAGCTGCTCATTTATGTCTTTCCTGCTTCAGCTTAAATAGCATCCCTTTAAAGAAGCCATCCTTGGGGTTCCTGCGTCGCTCAGTAGGTTAAGTGTCTGACTTGATTTCAGCTCAGGTCATGATCTCACA